CCCCCACCCCCAGCACTGAAACTCGTGCCTGGAAGGAACAAGAGCAGCAGGGACCCAGCCCTGTGGTCCAGCCTGTCACTGGGGCCAGAGGAGGGGGCAGGGTAGGGGATGGTGCCGAGGGGGTGGAGGCTGCTGCCTGCCAGGACAGGTCCCGGAGGGGGACCCTCAGACCAAATAATTGTTTCTGGAGACCCCAGTGAGGAAAACACGAGACCAAGAGCAGCAGAGGCCGAGCTGTCACATGCAAAACAGAAAGGAAATATAACACTGTGTATTTAAGCACCTTTTCAAGGCTCTTAATGGATAATATTTATTCATGGGAAAAGGTGGAAACCAAACCACCACTGGATTTTTAGGAAACGTTTTCCTCCGTGGACCCAGTACCTTTGAACCAAAACGATGCATTTTGTGAGGGTCGTTTTTTTTCTTTTTCCCCCTTTTTATAGCAAAAGCTTTAGGCTAAGGAGCCAGTTACTGCTGAGTTCTCTCTCCATCCCCCAGGTGGGGAGGTAACTGAGCCTGGGCCCCCACTGCCCAGCTGACCTGCAAAGCTGCCGCGACCACACAGCGGCGTGTCCCGGTCTGTCCCTGTCCCGTCTCCGTCCCTCTCTGCTTCACCCCTGGCTGTTTGTCAGTTGTCCAGCGTCTGTCTCTACATGGACCCCGGTGATCCTGACATGCCAGTGCGACCTTCCCCACCGCAGGCACCTGCAGCCGTGCGCCTGGAAGTGTGTTAGTGTGAATGCAGTTGTGGGGGAGAAAGGAATGGTGCCAAGAGAGGGTTCCGGGAGGAGGGAAGTCCCCCTTGGAGGGCTCAGTGCTCCCCCCATGGCTGGAGCCGCCAGGGTTTGCAGCTTCCGTCTGGCTTATACGGGGAATGGGGAACAGCCTGATTTATCACACCGGGATCTTGAGAAGGGGAGTAGCCAACTCTTCCCCGGTGGAGAGAGGACAGAAACCCGGGCACTGCTGCCACAGGCCATTGGCTCCCACCATGAAGCCCATCCCGAGCTCCGCCCAGAGGCCTTGGGAGCATCTCCCTGGAGAGAGGGCAGCGTCGGTGGGGACCACACAGGCTGCAGAAGGTTAAGCCCCTGTACCTCGTGAAGGGTGCGCCAAAGTGTGAAAGCAAGTAAGAGATTCTAGATGATTCTTACCTGGTCTGAAAGGTGTCTTGAGGTCTGAAGAGTCTTCAGGCCTGATGTTCCTGAAGACTCCTGATATCCGGAGTGGGGAGCGAATATTATTTCTGGGAGCCTGGACAGTGTTTCTGGTCACATGGCTCCCACCCTGGTGGGGCTGGAACAGCATTTCTGGACTCCTCTCCATTCTCACTGCTTGTAGCGGAGGTTAGTGACAAAGCCCTCCCTGGCATCAGGGTTAGTGACAAAGCCCTCCCTGCCCTCATGATCCCCAGGTACCCTACTGCAGTCTCTCTAGCCTGGGCCCAGAGACACACGAGCCCTCAGGAGCTCTGTCCGTGTCATTCCACAGCTCAGCTAGCTGTTAACTGCAGGCCATCTGCCCGCCACAGCCGTCTAGGTGAGTTTCACTACCAGGAGCCTGAGAGCACCTTCGGCACCTGCCCTATGATCCCAGCTCCACTGACCCTGTACAGGAGGAAAGTCACAGGGTTATAAGGTGGCACCTAACTGGCAGGTGGGCAGAGGGCGGGGGAAGGAAGCCTTCCACCTTCATCCCCCTGGCAATCCTCATCAACCACTGACCAAGTCCCTTCTCTGGGTCTGGCCTCAGAATGTCCCCCTAACACCAGAATGAGGTGGCTCTGGCCCTCTGGGCTTGGCTTAGGGTGCAAGTGGCAGAAAAGCTTTACAGTCCAGAGGAATATGTGTATACACAACCTGAACACACCTAAGAACAAGCATTTAAATTCAGTCACTTCATACACATGGGGCAGGCGGAGGACTGGGCTGAACTCTGTTCAGAGGGCAGACAAAGGACTGGAAAAGGAATTTTTCTTTTGAAAGCATGGGTAATGGAACAAAGTCAGGAACGTCTAGGATCTAAGCGTACATCCTAGGAACTGAGTGGGATGAGGGATAGAGGTAAATAAGAGCACGGCTGCCTACACTCCACACTGCCTGTGTTTGAAAAGACTCATCACAGCGTCAGAGCAACGACGGGTAAAATCCAGGACGCTTGACCCTGTCTCCAGGGAGCACGCAGAGGTTCCCACAAAAATTAATGAACAAATTTCAACCATCATGTTCCAAATAATTTCCCGATTTTTTACCCTAATGAGCTAAATGTTTTATATTCCTCCCATTTCATTTCCAAATCCCACACTATGCCAGTTCCTAAAAGACCACTAGGCTGTCCCCTTCGCCTCCACCCCCCAGTGCAGCCTTAGGCACGGATAAGAGACCGCCAGATGCCAACCCAGGAGAGCGGCCCGTCTGCACAACAGAGTCCAGCCAGGCTGCGCCGCTGCATTTGGAATTTAACAAGAGGGCCAGTGTGCCGAACCAGCTTAGTCAGTCTCACTCACTGGCCAGTGACCGAAGAGCCAGACATCAGAGTCTTCCGGGGGCAGTGGCTTTCTGGTGCAATGACCCCAGGATAGTAGAAGGTTCTTCAAACCACCTGCCCCACTCAGCATTAGAGAGGATTAAAAAAAACCGCCAATAGGCTACATTCAGATGAATGGAAACTGAGAAAATAAAGTGTTGAGTGTATCAGAACTAGAAGAGATTAAAGAACAATTTACAGTAGAGAAAGCTGAGGCCCAGAGGACTTGCTCCAGGTCATGCAGTCATTCAGTGTCAGAGCTGGGACCAGAACACAAGTCCCTTGGCTGTTACGTCTAGTGCTTTTCCCCACGACCTCTCAAAGCAATGATGCTTCAGAGAAGACTCATCAAAGAATATATGCTATGACCAGAGATGTAATCTTATGCAAATGTCAGTACTCCTTGGACACGACCCTCAGAAACCACCTGACTGCTACCAAGAACCACCATTCCCTGGGTAGACCTGGCCCTGGGCTATCAACTCTCAAAAACAGGGGAACAAGTGAACAGTCAGGTCATTTGTGAAGTGCTCTCTCTTCTCAGTGAAGAGAGGGCTGGGAGACATTTCAAAGCATACCTCCTGTAGTCCTTTCGATCCTTACTAGGACCACTGGTGGTAGTAAGTCAAGGAACTAAATCCTTGATTGGCAGGAAGCGGTTGAGTGACTTCCCCCAGTTCACAGGGCAGAACTATGATTGCAATCCAGGGCCTAGGCACCGTGTCCTGGGGCTTTTCCTCCACGCCACGTTGCATTACCTGGAGGCTTGCTTATATTTTTAATACCTGGATGTCAAGGGTGGTGACTAAGGGTGAGGAAGCATTCCTTTCAGAACCATCCTGAGCCAGGACCCCTGAAGCAAACTCTGGACAGTTTCTCTTTCGTCTGTTTTCATAACTAGTGTCAAGCTCAGGACTAACTACGTAGAATCCTGTTCAAAAGGCCAGTTCTCAATGACAGTTGAACACAACTGTCTATAATCACAGGAGTGTTAAGATCAGCAAGGAGAGAATAAAGAAAAAGAATCTGAACAGAAATTAAGACAGTTCATGCTGATCTCCATTAATAAAAAGCGTTAACTCCTGGACGTGCTGAGGCATTTACCCAGTTTTCAATGATCCCGACAGTTCAGGATCATGTCACTTACTCTAGAGGCAGGGAAAGTGTACACTGAAACATGTACCTGGATTTTCTTCCTCTTTTTCCTAACTTTTTGGAGGTAGCCATTGAAACTGAGCTAAATTTGGATCTTGAGGTTATTAATGAATTCCAGTGGTCCAGACGCCCTCACTTCAATTACCAGGTAACTACGAGGCGGAAAGCTCTCAATGCTGGGATCTTAGATTACTAAGGCAATATTAGTTTCTCTTCTAAACTAGTCGACATGGTAACCATGACAAACGGGAAACCTGGAAGACTATTTTCCCTTTCTGATTTCCTTATGAGAGTTCATCATTGGCAAAGCTCTAAAATGACTGAAGGAGAAACAGTGTTATGACCTGTGGCCCTTGGAGCCCAAACAGCATCATGAAGAGCATCATTAGAATGAAGAGAGAGTGGTTATCGGCAAAAGAAAAGCTTTAAAGGGGTTCCTTTCGAGTCTTGTTTTCTATTCAGAATGTTCTGTGTTTCCTCATCAAGTGTGGGAATGACATTCATCTTGGGTTACGTCGCTACACTGGATGATGTCACTCTAACCAGTGTAGGGCACCGACCCAAGTCCTGGGGGCTCCTTGGACCAACAGACTATTTTACAAACCTGGGAGGTGGGAGGGATGGTATATTTTTGATAACCAGACATTCCAATGTAATGTTTTCCTTAGAGGTCAATTCCCCCGTTAACTGTTCTCGTGAAAAACATCAAGTGTGTTCTTTTCTATTTTCGTATAATAAATGGGCTTTGCTTACCAACATCACAATGGCAAAGAAGAACTACTGTACAAACCCGCAGGAAGAGAAACATGAAAACTTTCTATGGAAAAAAAGAGAAAAAACTCTTTGAGTTTCCTGTCGTCTTCTTTTGAAACTGTAGTGCATATGTTAAAATGTGTATCATTTACAGTATTGAGTCACTGTGCCACTGCTGTACCGGATGTATCCAATCTGGATTAAACTATGTGCCACAAACCCTAAAATGATTGTGTGTATTTTAATACCAATTCCCTTGCTATACACCAGAAATAAGGGTGATCTGAACAAAGGGAGCTTTCGACCTTGCTAGAGAAAAGTCACAGCACCTTCTGGCCAGCGTGGCTCAGCGGTTGATCATCAACCTATGATCTAGATCAAGGTTCGATTCCCGATCAGGAAATGCCCGGGTTGTAGGCTCGAGCCCCAGTAGGGGGAGTGCAGGAGGCAGCCAACCAATGACTCTCTCATCAATGTTTCTCTCTCTCGCCCTCTCCCTTCCTCTCTTTGAAGTAAAAAAGGTATATTTTAAAAAAAGAAAAAGTCACAGCACCTGAAACTAACATAATATTGTATGTCAACTGTAACTGAAAAAAAAAAATGTTCAGTCACAGAATCTCCGAAGGATGCTTAAAAGTCCAGTCTAATCTTCCCTCCCCGCCCTGCCTCGATGTGAGCACCTCCTTGGACACCAGTGACCGTTCTCGCTGCTGTGTCTTTTCGTCATGGATGTTCACTAACAGAGAAAGCGTTTGATTGCATTTGTCAACAGTTCTCCTCTGAGGCCAGCCCTGTATTATTGAAAGAGGTTCTGCCTTTCTGTACCAGTACTGGGTCTGCTAAGAACACATCGAGGATGCACTTCTTCATCTAAGCCACGGTCTCAAACTAAAAAGAAAACTCCAAAATAAAGGCTGTACAGGGTGCAGCAAACGCTTGGGGACCAGATTAGAGGCTCCAGTTTAGGTTCCATCACTTACTTACACGACGCCGCATCAGTCACTTTTCTCTTGGCTTCAGTTTGCTTCCTCATCTTAAACACGGGGGATTGGATGATGTATCTTGAAGATCTGCTGTAATCTTAAAGCTGATTCAGGTAGTAAGAGCAACAGGCATTTCCATGTCACCATGATGTGGCAACAACAATGGGGATCCTTTTCATTTCCCCACAACCAGATCCCAATCAAAGACAACTGTAATAGAAAAGGAACATCAGGGCAAATGCATGATGCCCAAAGGCCCTGGAAGTTGGCTGTGAAATTCATTTCATATCCTTGTCACCCACTAGGTGTCACTATAGATCCATAGCTCAACCGATCTGGAGATAAGGGACTGGAAACCAGATGTGCTTTGAGCAATATGTACTCTTTTCATTAAAAAGCACAGTGTTAACACAGAGGCACAAAACCATGAACACACTCTGCCAAGACAAGAGAATCATCTTGCGCCCTGGCCGGTGTGGCTCAGTTGGATAGAGCATCGTCCCATGCACCAAAAGTCGCAGGTTCAATTCCCAGTCAGGGCATGTGCCCAGGTTGTGGGCTCAATCCCCAGTAAGAGGTGTGCAGGAAGCAGTCAATATTTGTTTCTCTCTCTCCCTCTCCCTTCCCATTACCTTGTAATGGAGTTCCAATGTCAGCTGTGACTGCCACAAATGCAATTTTATTTTTTAAGATTAACAGGTTTATTTACAAACTACTCCCTTGTCTCATCCAAGCTGATCCACAAGTACTAACTCTTCAATTATGTTTAGTATTTGGGGGCTGAGTTTAGCTTTAAACTATGTGCTTTTAAAAGGTTAGTAAATTTTACTGCAATACTTAGGCTATTTTAGAAAATAATGCTTTAAAATTACCCCAAATCATAATTTACATTCTATTTCTAAGTCAAAATTATCCAAAACAGCAGGTACCCCAAAGACTTCTCTACATGTTACCACCACCAGCCTAATTTTAGTTAGGTTAAGCCCAACTTGAATAGCTGTCATCAGATATTTAACCCATTCACACAAATTACCTGAATTTATAAAGACTTTCTATATTCACAAAATAATTATTCTTTTTCCTAGTTGGAAAGCATTTTCTCTCTCTAGTAATACAGTATTAAACTGAAAGGGGCCCTAAAAGTCTTCTACTTCAGCTTCCACATTTTGATGAGAAGTCTGGATTCTGAAAAAATAGTTAAATGACTGGTATAAGATTAAAGAAAAAGTAGGTATCACCAGCACAAATGCTCTTTCCACTACACCACAAAGCATTCTCAAGTGAATTTACCTAAAACCCATCTATGGTTCTTAACAGATCACAGGGACATGCACCTAGACTGACAACTGCAAACAAAACAGTCTTTTCCACACACAAACAGATTCCTTCCACATCCCCCACCACAACTGCACCCCTTACTCAGGAAGGTCACCGCTAAAACTTTGCTAGCAAACGCAGTGGAAAATAAAACAATTAGTATTTTCATGTTATGCATATGCTCACCTCCGTCTTATAAAAAAAAGGGAAACACAAAATATGACAAACCTAGAGAGAATCCAATTACTTTCAAGACTAATGAGTAACCTCATTTCTAATTAAGATGCAGCAGTATCCTAATTAAAATACCCTAGCAAAGACAAACTGTGAACTTGGCTACATTAAGGGGGAAAGAGTAGAAAAAGAGAGGTACCTTCAATTATATGGCAATGGCAAGATTTTATTTAAATGAGTAATTAAAGTCTCTACTTCTTAATGACGAACTGGACCTAATTATGGATTTGCTATTAATCCATTCATTCTAATTTGGCAATACTGATACATATAAGCAAACCCTACCACTGGCCATCCCAAATGACAGGAATCCAAGTTAAACAGAAGTTTAGGACTGTGCTATGTGAGTGTAGGATGGTAAATGACGACGACCTTGGATGTTTGCTTACAGCCCTGAGGGAAAATGATTACGCCGCCTAGACAAGTATTTACACAGGAAAGGAGAGCTTTCCTTTTCAAAACTAAATACATATTGCTATACAGAAGGGATTCTCACCACAAATACCACTCAGATAGGTCTGGGAGCCAAATGTGTTATCATGAAAGGACTTCCATAGAGAAGAAATGAAAGAATAACTTCCAATTACATTTTTCTAAATCATAATTTATAGATGTACCATCTCAGAAAAATGGCTGTTCCCCTTGGACCCTACTTTAGAGGTTAAAAACTGGGGGGAATCTCTAGAAGACACAGATTAGGACACATGGTGGGAAGTTTGAACAGAATGGGTTCCAGCCTCCACCAAATCCTTAGCACGAAGAGCTAAACCTTCCTGTAGCCCACCAGCAGTGTGGGGCGGTTCTTACCCTGGAATCCTTATGGGCTCAGAGGGTTTGTGAACCCCTTGAAATTACACATCAATTCTTGTTTGTAGATACCTCTGGGGTGAATCTATAGCTTTCATCAGATGCATAAAAAGACCCAAAACTAATAAAGGTTAAGCACTGCCCCTCTTCCTGAGAAACAGAAATGAGTCACCAATGGTGCGCGGCGACTGAATGCACTGTGAAAAGGCGGACAGCGTTCACAATCTTAGAAACAAGATATTCAGAGTATGAACAGTGTGTCAACACATTCGGCTAAGTCTATGGTTTTACTGCTAACAAACATTTTTACTGGAAGTGAAGAGCATCAAATCAAGTACCTTTGGGAAAGTCTGAAGCAGTGTTTACTCCGTCCTGCCTAGACCTAAGAGAAAGGGGGTTTTCTGACCTACCATTTACAGATTTCTATAAGAATGTATGTACCTAAGAACACGCAGTCCAAGCCTTTCGTAAAGAACTCCACAGCGTCAACTAACCATTTCAAATCTTAACTTTTTATTTTCTTAAGTAAGCAGTGATATAAGTCTTTTCAAATGTTTCTTTTTGGAATGGCTTATAGAAATGGCACCCTGGGACCTTTTAGCTCTTTGTCCCAAAGAATCTCTTTCAAAAATCTGACCCATGAAGTTTCTTAAAATAAGATACCTGTAGGTCAAAACCACCTGAAAAATAAATGAATCCCAGCAGAAAGCCTTAAGACTTGTCAAAAATGCTGCTATGGGCCACTCTATCATAGGTCACGGAGGATGGCTATCCAAAGGTACCGCTTGTTGATACTTGCGGGTGGTCTGAGGTGTGGCCACCGTCACTGGTTGCCGCGCATCATTTCTTGGAGGTACATGGTATTCATGTGATAGGCCGCCATCCAGCCTGGATGCCTCTGAGCATTCCAGTAATAGGACTGAGAAGCAGCAGCATAGTATTCATGCCATGCCCTGTAGTAGGCTCTCCAGTACTCCTCATAATCCTGATAGGTACCCGAAAACCCCTCCTGGGCTTCCCTGTGGCGGTCGTACCACTCCTCGTCCTGGGGCTCTGTCTGCAACCGACAGGAGGGCCGCCTGGGAGGGTTTCTCCGGCTCTGCTTAGCTCTCTGGCTGGCCCCCTCTTTCTGTCTTGCCTTTGTCTGGATGTCAGGTGATCCTTGATGCTCTACTAGAGTAGGGGTGTCGTTTCCATTCAGAGGTTGTTCCAAAGAGGTACGGCCACCCGCAGGGGTGGACTCCAAGTCTTTCAGCGGAATGTCTGAAGAGCCTTCCACACACAACTTATTTCCTTTGCTCTGGGAAGAAGCCCTGGAGCTGTAAGAGTCGCTGTCACTCTCAGAGTCTCCAGATTGGCTGCTGCTTGCCAACACCCGCACACTCTCTTCGATGACCCCATTTCTCACAAAGCTGTTGTGAGGATTCACAGTCTGCTCCCCAGGACCCGTGTAGTGCCTGATTATTTCCACAGGCTTCTCCAGCCCCTCCTTAATGTAATGCTCATAATCTGCGACCAATTCGGCAAAAGTCAAAGCGCACAGCGGATGGGTTTTAAAGGAAGAGAGACAAGGAATTTGGGGGAGTGACGCAGGGGGGTCTTCCTTGAGCTGCTGCTGACTGTTGGAGCTTTCAGCAGGGGTCTCACCAGAATGCTTCACCTGCTCCTCCAACTGTATGGCGCGGCCCAGCGCTTTTGGTGATGCCGCTTTTTCTAGGATCCCACACTCTGAGTGGCTTTTCATAGGGAGCTTCTGTTTGGTGGTGTTTTTTGACTTGACTGGTAGTGCAGACCCGGAAGTATTTCTGCAAGAAGCCAGGTGGTTACCATGCACTTTCTGGGTTTGAGAGGCTCTCTCCATTTTCGGAACGCGCTTTTTCGGGGGCTGGCTGGGCACACTTGCTACACCATTTGCACGTACAGCAGCTTTAACCTCCACATCCCAATCCAAACATTCTTCCATCAGACCAGGAGGAATGGGGTCTACAAAAAAGGAGTAAAAGCACAGTAACATTCTCGAGCTGCTCTAGCAGCATTTTCTGAAAGATTTCATAGAACAAGTACTTTGTAAATCAAGACACAAGCTTAGAGTGGCAATCTTCAACCCGTGTGCGGCAAGAATTTTTAAAACAGGCAGTACCTGACTATTTAGTCAGGGGCACAGACCTCTTTTCCCTTAGATTGCCGAATAAAAAATGACAACAGCCAACAAAACAATAGCCCCCTAGTGTGAATGAATAAGAATTATATCTATTTTTTATCAGATCAGCAAAAAATATATTTTTTAGTATGCTGCAGAATTTTAGAAATTAGGTTATGTGTACCATGAGATGAAAGAGGTTGAAAACCACTGGCTTAGAGCCTAATGAAATCTGTAAAAAGATCACAAAATGAGTTATTACAAAGCAGAACTATTAGAATCCACAGGACTCCCAGACTTGTGACTAGTCTAGCTTTGTAAAAATCACTAAAGCAGTTAAGCATGAATTGGTAAAATATTCAGTCATAATTATTCAGTAACTACATATCCCATATACTAGGTGACGTATACACTATACAAGTATACATTTATGAATACATGTATATACACATATATAGACAGAGATACACACTAACATGCATAAACTAGCACATAGAGCAAAGAAACTATATGGATTCCACACAAGAGTTTTCAAGAAGCCATTAATAGTTTCAGACACACACTGTTTCCAAGATGGCACTTAAAAAGATCAGCGTGACAAATGATTCACTAAAATAAAATAAAATGTTCAGAACAGTGTTCAAATGAGAGATACCATTCCTTCCCCATGGTGACAAAAGAGAATATGCTGCCTTCACAGTGACAAGAGGCAAAATGCACCCCTTTAAAAGAATAAAATCAAATTGCAAGGCTACAAACTAGACAATGGAGCTAACAGAATAGTAAGACATTTTCATTTGCCAGTAGTTAGCTTGTAATCTTCTCCCTGCGACTCATTAGCTGCAAGAACTTAAGCAAATCACCAAACCTCTCTCGGCCTCAGTATCCTCACCTACAAAATATAGACAACAGCAGCACGAACCTCACAGGACGGTGGTGAGAATGACAGGAGTTAACATAAAGTATCTGGAGTAGCTGAGACACCCTAAGTATTCTGTGTTAGCTGTTATTTTTACTAGGCCTATCATCATTACCATTCTTATTTTGACAGCAGAATGAAACAGACAAAATATACCTGGTAAAGGCAGAAGGTTGATGTTACATTTCTGGGCAATTTTCATCATCATATTTTCTTCTTCTCCCTGGCAACAGTAGGTAACTGCCAGTCCCAACGTACCTAAGGCACAGAGGGAATGTTAAGTAGTAAGTCATTTTCACCTAAAGGGCACTCCGAGTCCACCTGTCACATTACAGATTCCTCCCCTTAAACAAACACTCAAACTTTTCTTTTTACCAAAACGGCCAGCTCTGCCAATCCGATGCATGTATGTCTCCCAGTCCAGTGGCACATCCAGATTTACAACCAGATTCACCTTCTCAGCATCAATCCCACGGGAAGTCTGGAATCGAGAAAGAGAGCAACTGTGTGTGTTAACTGTAGCATGGTACCAATGTACACGATCTTACTCTAGCATAACCAAGAGCCAAATTAAGAATAGGAAGATATTTAGGAGGAAGGAAAATATCTAGGAGCAAAGGAGAAGGAAATTCATTCTGTGACTAATTTCAAGAACAAAAATGAAAATATAAACGACATTTTTAAGAAAGCACATCCCTAGCACTGGAAAGACGACCATCTCCTGGTATCTTGTCAGATACACCCACATAAAATAACAGATGAAATCGGTACATCTGATAACAGAGCATATGTTAAGAGGGATTAGTCATCCAAACTGAAGAGGAAATTTACCAGATCTGTGGAAATGAGGACTCTGCAATGAAACTGCTTCAGTTTAGCCATAGCATCAAGACGCTGATTCTGATTCATGTTGCCTAAAAAGACCCAAATACACATTCATCAAATCCACGAAAAGCAGGAAGTATAACTCCCAGTCTTAACAATTTAAAAATATACCAACCAAAGTTAATGCAAATCTAGGTTAAGACCTACTAGCAGAACCTTTTAAAAGTATGATTAGGCAACCCACTTGAAACTCAAAAATCAATTTTAAATGGTGACTAGGTTATGCCTGCAGATACAACACTGTATGTGCAAAGTTACATATAAAATATAACAATTATTAGGAAAATAAAATTGCTTTAATCAGCTGTTTATAAATTTGGTGTTGAATGTGACCTATAGTCAAACTATTTCTGTCGATCAGAAAACAGTCTCCCCAGTACCTTCTGATATACCAGGACTAGACAAGCTTTAACAAGTAAAAGACTAAGCTGAGATATTAATCAAAACTCTAAAAAGGATCTCACTGATCAAAAGTTCCTTGAAAATTTTACTCCTACTAGGCCAGCAGTAATAAATTAGCATGGTGTCAAAATGAATCACTTTTGCCTTCCATAGACCATAAAACAGTCAGTTCAGTTAGCAATTCTTAACATTTTAACAATGACTAAAGAAGCAAAATATTTTTCTCTTAAGATGACAAAAACAAATTTTGTGAGGATATAACTCCAATCTTCTAATGTTTTATTATATACCAAGTTACTTCTTATAAGAACAAGGACACTGATATATCAAATCCCAATGGAAAATGAACCTGGAATTTCCTTGACGACTCATGAAGTGGTATTTCTTTGTGATATGAGAGAGACAGACTTCAAGTCAGGACACTAGACACGGGTTAAAGTAGGATGAACCCACCTGAAATGCACTCTGCAGGAAAGCCTTTGGAAGAAAGGATATCGGCCAAATGCTGTGCTCTATTAAAAGCAACACAGAGGGTTATACTTTTCCAGACGCTCCCCACACCTATTCTTTTACTTCACAAGTTCCCCCAGGCGACCCTTTAAGGTACATTACCTGCTGTGCAAATTAGAAAAGACCAAGGCTTGATTAAATGGAATCCTGCTGAACAGTTCCTGTAAATGCTGGGCCTTTTCCTCAAAAATCTTATGGGCCAAAGGGTACAAATTGACAACTTTGTAGTACTGCTTCAAACCTATGGAGAAGCCAAGAGTCTTCTGTTAAAACAAACCTAACCACTATCTCCTAAGAGCATATGTGAAAGCAATAGGCAACTAGGCAAGGGACAGCTCCGGTAATGTAAGTTTCCAGTATCTATACACACCTATGAGACTTGGGTCACTGGAATTGAGTCTTACGAAAGTGGGCTCTCTCATGTACTTTGCCAAAGCATTAGCCAAAAATTCTGGGTAAGTGGCTGACACTGCCACCATCTGTTTACTGGCAGGCAAGGAAGAATAAATCCAGCTGTGAAATAAAAGAGAAACACGCCATGGAAACTATTCTTACTGTAACCACCACCTGGAAAAGCTAAAGTCAGACCCTCTGGGGCACCATTTTAATAGTCAAGTTAGTTATTTTTCTTACTTAATTTGCTCCTGGAAGCTGCCTTCTTCTAAAAGCTTATCTGCTTCATCCAGGATAAAGAGACGGACACTGCCTGGGTTCAAGTAGTCAAGTTCGATCAGCTGTTTAATTCTGCCTAAATTTCAAAGAAAAATTTGAAACATTTATGATGCACCAAATTTGTGTCTCAGACAATGTCACTCTACTTAGAGGTTATATTGCTGACTTTCCCGACCCAATCTTCATTCATTTATGCACTAAACCTCCAATTAGAAAGTCTGAGTTCTGATCTTGCCTAACTCCATTATCTTTCCCTCACGTTTCATCACCAGCAAGTATGGAAAATACACTATTTCTATCAAAAGACTTGCATGGCTAAGGCGCTGAATGCTAGATTCTGATTCTGAGTGATTCATGACTGAATGATTAAAGCAAAGAGTAATCCTAATCCATGCCTTAGAAGAGCTTCCTGAAGTCATCTCATCCCTCCTCTTCTCAGAAGCCTACCCCATCCGTGTTCTTAAACATCTTTAGGATTGGAGAGTTCATAAATTCTGTTGGTAATCCAGTCACATGTCTGTATCTCACTGGCTTAAGGCTTTTCATTTCTAAACCTCAAAATAATTACCATAGTTATCAAGGATTCCAATATTACTGTTATATTAAAAGTGTTCAATTCCAAAAGGCTCCAATCACAAACAGGCATTGATATCTTACCAGGAGATCCGACAGCAATATGACACTTTTTAAGTCTGGTTTTGTCTTGAGGTAATGGAGTTCCTCCAATAAAGACATGACACTCTAAGCCTTCCATTTTTATTCCAATGGCTGTGATAACAGAATGTATCTGTACAGCAATTTCCCTTGTAGGAGCCAAGATCAAAATCTAAGAAAACGTAAAATACACCTTTAACAAGACAGTCAAATAAATACCTGTGATCAGCACATCATATGATGAACTATTTTTTCTTTGAATGAACACTGTATTCACTCAGCTAATGTTAATTAAGTGCCTACTGTGATCTAAGCTGGGAGTCAACAGTTAACAGTACAAAATCCTTGCTCTAATGGACTTTCATTCTTGAATGATAAAAAGAAATATACAATAAACAAACATAAATAATGGCAGGAAATAAAAAGTGCTATGAAGAAAAATCAAACAGGGAAAAGAAAAAGAAAGAAAGGAGTCCTTTGAAATGGGGGATTAAGGAAAGCTCCCCTAACCTCCGAGCAGACACCCAAAGGGATATCCTGGAGTTTTCTGGGGGCAGGTAATGAAAGGCCTTGACAGTCACAATGAGAACAGTGTAGCAAAAGTACTGGAGGAGAAACTACATGGTCTCAACTGAAAAAATAAAAAACTTCAAAAATAAAGGACAAAGAGAAAACATGTCAAAACTGTTAACAGCAGTTTCTCCCTGTGGAGGTGAAATTATACTTTGTTTTTTGGGACTTCTTAATTTTTCCAAACTTTCCCAATTTTCAAAAATGAGTATGTATTCCTTGATAACACAAAAATCTTAAATTTAAAAAAATACAAATTTAATTTATGGAATTTATTCAGGGTTTTGTTATTTGCCCCTTTGCCAAATTATCAGAAGCCAAAATTTCAAAGACGCCTCAATTCACAAGTAGAATAGCCCAGGTCCTTGGGGAGTAGAAGGATTTCCTGTGGGCAGCATCACCCAGGATTTGGTAGGTATAAGGTAGGACTCAAAAGGCTTTACAGACCAGGTGTACGGGTTTCTGGGTAAAAAACCACCCGTGAAGAACCATCAATAGAGATACATGACTGAGAACATGAAATACAGCCACAAAGTAAGACTAGGGGATCACATGTGAGTCAGCTTTGTATCCCCAATGCCCGGCAAACTATCAATAATATAGGTTCAACANCCCGTGAAGAACCATCAATAGAGATACATGACTGAGAACATGAAATACAGTCTGTCGTAACTGCTAAGCCACAAAGTAAGACTAGGGGATCACATGTGAGTCAGCTTTGTATCCCCAATGCCCGGCAAACTATCAATAATATAGGTTCAACAAATCTTTGAAGAAATGATCCCCAAACCCAAATCTCCTGTTAACTTGGGTAAGGCCACCTTAGACCTACTCCANAAATGATCCCCAAACCCAAATCTCCTGTTAACTTGGGTGAGAACCTAGAAGATGGGAGACCAATGATAAATTCCCAGAGCTGCAGGAGCCAGATGCAGTTATCAGCAACAGCCAAAGCACACATTACCATGAATCAGGCCAAATGCTAAATCTCACCACATGCGATGGGCAGGTAAAAGAGAATCTCAATCTGTCCTCTCAACTAATGACATAACTGACACGTGTGACAGACATTCGACTTAAGATGCAGTAATAATAGAAAGTTCCAAGCTTCTAACACTAATAACACATCCTTGGTTACCAGCCACACCATCACCACACAATGGACGGAAAGGGGCCACATGCTAAAACCTGACAAGCTCCAGGAAGGCCTGCATTGGTGGCCTTGCAAACTCAGAGACCTAAAGTAACCCACAAAGGATGGTCTGAAATTAAAACCTTTTAACTAAAAGCAAGCCCTAGGCTAGAATCGTCCCTGACAAAAGTCAATCTTTGCCTCAACTAAGCCTGTCTATTGTCTTTTACATCTACAATTACATTCCTTTTTCCAGACCCCTCCAGGGCACAACCGATGCTCCAGGGCGAAGACCATAAAGCCTCATTGTTATTGCTGTCATGTTAATTACTGGCTGTTAACTGTCCCCTACCCACAAATGTAAAAGACGGGTCTATCATTCTACTTTTCATCCAATCCCAGAGGTTCCGACCCCAGGCTTTGCTTTCTCCCGCCTCCCTAATCACCGAAGGACTTCCCCTAACCCACCTGCGTCTTCTCTTTTGACTGTAATGTATAAAATGAGGTGCAAAACTGCCATTCTCCGGAGCATTATCTCGATCCCCTGAGATTCTGCTTCCTGGCAACAGTGTCAACAGCTTGGCTCAAATAAACTCTCAAAAATCCCCTCTAGGTCTGAGTGTCTCTTACGCCCATAGGCCTAATGTCTTCCTTTTGCGCTTTTCATGCGGCTTCACTCAATCACTCATCGAATTCGCGCCTGTGTCTGAGGAGCTACTGGTGTTTCATCCGCCCTGTGACGAAAAGCCAGGTGCCCCGGCCGCCCCTGCGCCCTCCGGGCTCCGCTCGCTCACCTGGGTGCTCAGGTTCTCAAGAACGAGCGAGTCCAGAGCGATGGTGGAGAACACGCAGGTTTTCCCGGTGCCAGACTTTGCCTGAACAATTAAATCTGCCAAGAAAAGAAAAGCAAACTTGTCACTAGACGGTACCGGCCGACGCGGCTCAGGGACCGCACGCGCGTCAGAGCTGGAAGGGCCCCCAGGGACCCCCTAGCGGGCACCTCCAAAACCGCACGGCCACACCCAGAAGCGGGCCTCGCGCTCGAACCCCCGTTTCTCTTCTCTGCCAGCGAGCGCGGAGCCTGAACTACCTTTAAACTCCATCCTGCGCCTGTTTTACAAAAGCCAACCCGCTGAGGCTTGAGCGCGCCCCGGGGCCGCCCCGCCCGCGAGGCCGCCCGGGGTCCCC